CCCTAATGAATCACAGTTGACAATCACTTATTAATTAAGTGGTCGTAGTTCATCTCGGAGAGAAGGGCGTACCTGTCAACAATAACAACAACAACAACAATAATAATAATCATAATAATAGTAGTAATAATAATAATCGTCGTAGTTCAATGATGGGGGCGTACTTGCGCACGAAAGCGGCCATGATGGTGCGCGTCGTGAGCACGGTCACGCGCTGCTCGAGGAGGATCTTCTGGAAGGTGCCCGCGTCGTGGTCCGCGTGGCAGTGCGTCAGGATGACGTGCGTGATCTTGCGGCTCGAGATGCCTATTAGTTAATCGATCAACACTTCATTCACTGATGATAGGTCAGGATGCCGCGCGTGATCTCGCGGCTCGAGATGCCGTTGCGCCGCAAGTAGTGAGCAGAGTGGGCGGGCGGGTCCACCAGGATGCCCCGCCCACGCATCCAAAGTATGAAGCCCGCCGTGGTGCCTTCAATAATAATAATAATAATAATAATAATAATAATAATAATAATAATAATAATAATAATAATAATAATAATAATAATAATAATAATAATGTAGTAGTAGTAGTAGTAGTCCAAAGGATGAAGCCCGCCGTGGTGCCTTCAGTCACATCACCAACCGGCTAGGCACCCAAGGAAGGAGATGAGTTCATTCACGCAGGGAGACGGCGTCCGCGCCTGCGGCGGTGAAGCCGTCGGCGGCGCCGAGGACAGTGATGCCGAACTGCGGCGCCTCAAAGTCGATCGCGTCGCCGACGGCCGTCGCCATCGGCATCAGGATGTGCGGCGGGTCGGCGATGGCGGAGGAGAGCCAGTCGGGCACCGTCGCGACAAGCTCGTCGTCGACTCGAACGTCGTACTCTGCGCCGCGGTCGATCACCTGCCATCAATTGACTGATCGTTAACCACGGATTGATGCGCCGTACTCGGTGGCGATGACCTAAGGGAAGTCCAAGTAAGGTGGCAGTGCAAGTGGGGCGGTGTCTCGCCTCGATCGTGCCGTCGTCGAAAGCCATGCGAGCGAGGAGGTGCCCCGCCGGCAGCTCCTCTGAGCACGCAAACTCGACAAACTGCAGCAACGTGTCGGCCTCGATCTTGCGGCCGTTGCGCGGCTCCTACGACGACGGGGAATGCCGAAGAATGCCGAACAGTGATGGCTGATAGCGAATACTAAGTAGCAATGCAGGGTGGTTCCGTCGCTCCTTGGAGGCACGCAGCAGGTCTCTCTCTCCGTCTCTCTATCACTATTCCAATGACTACTGCTCATTTGCTCCTTGAAGTAGCCGATCTCGCGCAGCAGGTCGGGCCGCGCGGCGTAGATCGAGTCGTCGACGAAGGGCGAGTACTCGTCGTCCTGGAAGGGGGATGCAAGGGAGATGCAGGGGAGATGGGGAGATACAGGGGAGATACAGGGGAGATGCAGGGGAGATGCAGGGGAGATGCAGGGGAGATGCAGGGGAGATACAGGGGAGATGCAGGGGAGATGCAGGGGAGATGGGGAGATGCAGGGGAGTTGCAGGGGAGATGCAGGGGAGATACAAGGGAGTTGCAGGGGAGATGCAGGGGAGATACAGGGGAGATGCAGGGGACACATAGAGGCACCTGGTGCAGGTGCTCCTCGGCAGGGCCCTCCAGCACCTCCTCCATCACCTAACCCATCCACCAGCCAGCGATGAGCGCAGTGCTCTCCTCCACCACCCCCCTCCACCATCCCCCCCCCCTCTCCAGCACCTGCCGAATCACAGCCGCTGCCGCCGCTGCGCAAACCACCGTCGTCTTGTCGCCCTGAGAGCAGGGGAGGGGGAGGGGAGGGGGAGGG